TAAAAACCCTGCTGTCAGCTTTGCATGTTGTCCGTGCCATGATGATATCAGGAAACATTTTGAACTGTTTTGGATAAAAGAAGAAGTATACAATTTTAAGATGGTTATTTATTTTTATGATCGTGGTCACTAATAATTGTAGCTCTTAAGACTGCTCTATCATACAAAAATTCTCACAGAACTGCTTGTCCGTGTTTGCACATTCCAGACAGATTGTCAGTTTGTGCAATGGCAGTGAACTCTTGCTTATTTTTAGTGACTCTTCATGCAGTCAACAAGTGGCTGTTTTTATGAGTCATTCACAGAATCCTTTCAAAGATTTGATAAAACTCACTGATTCAATTATTGACAAAACAAGTGACAGTTTTAATAAGCGAGTCATTAAATCCTTTACTCAGTCAAGTCATTGAAAAATATGGTTTCAGTCAATGTAGTAAAGACACAATTGTCTTTATACGCCAGTCAAGGAATCATTTATTAGAATTGATTAAAGATTTGGTTCAAACCCATGATTTATTCTTGAATAACCTGCCAAGCGTTGCTGAGTTTCATTCAGCAACAAAATAAAAAATAAAAAACATTTTAAGTGAGTCACCGAATCATTCACTTAACCCAAAACCCTTTGAGGAACAAATTTCCTGTTTTTATGAATGAGGAATTATTAATTCAAATGATTACATTTACATTTAGTTATTTAGCTGACACTTTTGTGACACTTTTGACAATTGAGGAGGCATTCAGTGATTCAACAAGAAGAGGCATTACATACAAGAAGTGCTAGTTATTAAAAGTAACTTGTTTGTGCTAGGAGAAATTAGTGCTAGAGAAGGTTTTTTTGAGAGAAAGAAAGTGCTTCTTATAGTTTTGATATTATTTACAGAGGTTCAGGTGGTCTTGGAAGAAATGTGTTTTTAGTTGTTGCTTGAAGTATACCAGTGCATTCGCAGTCTGTTAATTCCACCAGCGAGGAACATTGATTATTAAAAAAAAAGACCATTCATGACTAAAAAGTGACATTCTACTTGTTTTCCATTTAGCACATTAGTCAAAAATATATTGATTTATGAATTAATATATTGAATTATGAATTAAATGCTAGTTAAAAGTATAGTTATCTTCACAAAATAACTATTGTTTAAGAAATGTAAAACACTAAAATTAAGTGTGTGTGGTATATGAAGCTGTGCATTAGAAAAATATTTCAAGTATACATACAGTAGCCATGTCCAACTAGATTTTTTTTTTAATCTGTACATGTGTGTGGAGATCAGAGAACGTGGTTGCAATGTGTAAGAAAGGTGTCCAACAGTAGCAATCTATAACTTAGCCCACCATCAGCTTTTAATTAGAGTGACCAAAGGTGAAACCCTCTTAGCAAAAGTGCTCAGCAAAGCCTTTGCTGCTATCTGTACTTCCATTGCTTACTGCAAGTCCTCTTCCAGACAGTTTAAGGCTGCTCGCTGTGTTTGAAACATGAAGTAAACAGCACAAAGTGGCTTCAAGTCATGAATATAAAAGGCCATGTGTTGTGTCATTACAGGGCTTCAAAAACTGTAATTTATACAACTGGTAATTGCACTGTGAAACAGTAATTTAATAATAATTCATGTCACACCTTCTTGGTGACTGAAAAATGTGTTTACATAAAAAAGCAATTAAATTGCATTTAAAGTGAATTGAAAAATGGGCCCACAGTCTCAAGATGAGATTTAAAAAGTTTTAAGTCAACTTTTGTTTGACAGGCTCAATGACAGGATTCTGTGCAACCATGAAAGATATTCACATGGCCATTGGTGTAAAGTAATTAAAAATTGTCAAATTGTAACTAAGTCTCATTTTCTCAAGAATTGTACTTAATTAGATAGTTTTAAAATTAAACTTTTAATTTTACTTGATTCCATTTTTAGTGTTGTATTGGTATTTTACTGCATATTTCCTTCAATCTACAATCACTACTCATTCATTCATTTTTTTTTGGATTAGTCCCTTTATTAATTTTGGACTGCCACAGAGGAATGAACCACCAAATTATCCAGCATATGTTTCACGCAGCGGATGCACTTCCAGCCGCAACCCATCACTGGGAAACACCTATACACTCTCCTTCACACACATACACTACGGACAATTTAGCTTACCAAATTCGCCTGTACCACATGTCTTTGGACTTGTGGGGGAAACCAGAGCACCCGGAGCAAATTTCACACAAAAATGCCAACTGACCCAGCCGAGGCTCGAACCAATGACCTTCTTGCTGTGAGGTGACTGCACTACCCACTGCGCCACTGCGTCGCCAGTCACTACTATATATGTTTTTTTCTCTTGTCTATGATATTTGGCTAAGTAAAATAATCAGTCCTGTGATTTCCATGCAATCAAATTGTGCACAAAAACATTGCATCAGACAGACCTTAAGACAGTCTCTTAATAATGCATCAAACAAGTACAGTGTGGAAGCATTAAAAGTGTCCATGAACACGCAAAATCATTACACATTATGACTGAATTCACCAAATTCTAATACATTATATTTATTTTTATTTATATAGTGCTTTTTACAATGATAGTGACCAAGATTTTGTCAAAGCAGCTTAACATAGGTGACGAAATGAGTGTAAAAGGCATAATATTTCAAATTTTGGAACATTTCAGCAATTCAGGCAGGCAGATGAGTAGTGTATAATGTAATTAACCTGGAACCGCTCTTACTGATGGTCAAGAGTTTTGCGTCATGACCGAAAGGACAAGATCTCGGATACAAGCGGCTGAAATTAGCTTCCTTTGCAGGGTGGCAGGGTGAGGAGCTCTGTCACCTAGGAGGAGCTCGGAGTAGAGCCACTGCTGCTCCACATCGAGAGAAATCATCTGTTTTGGATGCCTACCTAGGGAACACTTCCCTCCTCTCCAGGCATGTCCCACCGGGAGGAGGCCTTGGGGAAGATCCAGGACATGCTGGAGGGACTATGTCTTTGGGCTGGTCTGGCAATGTCTCAAGATCCCCCCAAAAAGCTGGAGGAAATGTCTGGGGAGAGGGAAGTCTGGGGTTTTCTCCTAAGATTGCTGTTCCCCGCAACCCCGCCCTGGAAAAGTAGTTGAATATAAATGAATGAATGAATGAATGAATGAATGAATGAATGAATGAATGGAACTGCTTCAGTTCAGATTAGTATAAATGTCAATGTTGAAGTTTAGTTTAATATAGTAAGATCAGTATAATGCAAATGTCACTGCTGAAGGCCGATCTACTGAAGGGCAAATCCACTGATGTACCAAAGAGAAAAGGCCTTACACAATAACTAAATGCACTACAAATGTTATGTTTTCAAATGCATGTACAAATAGTACCACATGAGATTGGTTTGCTGGTGCCAGCTGCTGGACACTCATAAGTGTTAGTAAGGAATCAAAGTGCATAACCTAAGTGTTTACATATTGTCACAGCTAGAATATTGCATCTTAGGTTACACAGATTTCACTGTGCATGTAAACGGATCAGCCTGCTTTTTTGTCAGTTTATTATTTGTGCATATGTTAATGCAATGTGTTCTCAGATTTTACATTTTTAGTCCATGAATGGCAAAATATTTTACTTACACTTAAAAAACACCTTTGATCTGCAGGGTATGATGATTAATAAAATACTTTTAGTAGTGTGACTTTTAGAACAGATACTCTGCTTACAATACTGCTGTTTGCAAGTAATGTTTAAGTTTTTATACTTTTTACACCACTGCATGAAGCCCATGTTTGTACAAGGGAAAACTCTAAGCAATTAAAAAAAACAACAACACATGAACTGGTCCTAATTTAAAATCAGTGTATTGTGACCTTTGTTAGGCAAGGTTGCACATGCCTTGCACAATGCATTTTATGTAACAGACTCTTATAATCAGAGTAATTTTTCAGTGCTTGTATGAATCAGAATGACATCAGATTTTCCATTCTCCCTTAGCGATGTTCAAGCCTGTGGCAAGGTTCAGATAACCAATTGCTGTCATCAAAAACTAACTCATATGGCAGCTCACCAGAACAAACTCATGCCAGGACACCCACAATGACCAAATAATCCATTCAGCAGCATTAAACAATTTGTGTCACCCTACAACTGAAGCAGCTCCATTATTCAGTGGGATATTTGGTTTGGAGCGAGGTTGAGGTGGTTAGAACTGGCTTGCTCATGACAAAAGTGGTTACAGTAACTTTCTGATTAAATTGATTGAAACCTATGAATTCGATCTATTGCAGGAAAGAGAAATGTTGAGGATGAACTGATTCACTAGAATGAGTCAAGCGTGCACTCTTTATGAAAGAGAGAACATTCAGAGAGAGTGCTTGACTGTGATTCCAGTCCAGAAGCTCCGGCGAAGCCAAGAACGTCCAGAATATGGGACTAAAGAGCCTCATAATCCCCCCGCTGTGAGGGTCAGCCACACTCCTGTCTGCTTCTCCATCAGTGCTGGAGGAACACAGGGGCTTGCCAGACCATTTCTCCAAGTGTAACCTAATCTCTTTCCAGAGGTCAAGAGCTTCCATGGTTGGGTTAGAAACAGAGGCAGCTCACTAACTCTGTAGTAATGAGCTCAATGCCGTGACTGAGGTTGAGTGAGGTGCCAGATCTTCTGTCTAGATCATTTAGGGTTGTGTTAGTTTGGTTAAACTGGGACTTTTCAGATAGACATTGGGGGAATTAGACTCCCAAAGGCCTTCAGAATGGAATAAATATACACTTATACCACTGAGATCCATCAAATAGAAAATGTGATTAGTATGAGGAAAGATGTTATAGTATGATTTTGTTGTAATGTGGATGATAATTATTTACCTAACCAAAGGGTTGGTTCAAAATAAGAATATCTTCATATTTTCATTGTTTACACATCTGAGAAAAGTGTTCATACTGAAGACATGTAACCAAGCTGCTTTCTGTTGGTCAAGTGATTTTAAATAAGATCAATATACATGTGCCAATTTCTTCCTTCTCTGTCTTATGTATTTCACAGGTGTGTGTGTGGTCATGGATGTTCCTTCACTAGTATGTCTGGTGTTGCTTCTGGCAAGTGGATGGTTTCCTGAAACGGAGGGCAGCCCTCAGGAGTTTGACAGCAGTGATGAAGGTCCGGAAGTTGAATTCCTGTCAACCACTCGCACACGAAGGGCCCCTGAGCCTCCTCCACAGGACAAGTGTTCCTACACCTTCATCGTACCCCAGCAGAAGGTTACAGGAGCCATCTGTGTGAACTCCAAGGAGCCTGAGGCAGTGCTGGAGAACCGTGTCAACAAACAGGAGCTGGAACTTCTCAACTCTGAACTGCACAAGCAGAAGAGACAAATTGAGACTCTGCAGCAGCTTGTAGAAGTCGATGGTGGCATCGTCAATGAGGTGAAGCTTCTGCGCAAGGAGTCCCGTAATATGAATTCCCGAGTGACACAGCTATACATGCAGCTGCTGCATGAGATCATCCGCAAAAGAGACAATGCACTAGAGTTGTCGCAATTGGAAAACAAGATCCTCAACCAGACCTCTGAGATGCTGCAGCTTACTAACCGCTATAAAGACCTGGAGCATAAGTATCAGCACCTTGCATCGCTGGCCAATAACCAGTCAGCACTCATTGCCCTTCTTGAAGCACAGTGTCAGAGGGGGCCACCGGTACCCAGGGTACCTGTACAGCCTCAGCCACAGCCTCAGCCTCAACCCCAACCCCACCCACAACCCAGACCCTCACCACCCCTTAATAAGCCCTACCAGCCACCTACATTTAACCGCAACAACCAGATCACTAATGAGATCCAGAGTGATCAGAACCTCAAAGTACCTCCTGCACCTCCACCCACCATGCCAGGGGGAACTCACAGCCCTTCCACCACAAACAAACCCTCAGGTGAGTCTCAGCTTCATCCCTTCATTTGTACATATGCTTACTTATTATTACGATATTTGCAATTCTTTAAATGATTTTAATATAGCTTAGGCTATTTTATCTGACATTATTGTGTTAAGCCTACAAAAGTGGACACGTAATTTGTAAAGATTTACTTATTTCTGTTGTATTCATATTTGAATACAAATATGTATTTATTATCTCCGAAAGAAAGAAAGAAAGAAAGAAAGAGCTGTGAAGCGAGCGCTCTTTTGCCCGGTCTCTCACACATATGCATCTAAACGCGCACGTTTCATGCACAAACACACTTTTTAAATGTGACAAAAACTCAACAACTGAAAGTTACTGGCTGCTGTGTCTTTAATGTGGTGTAAAGTTTATTATGCATTACCAAAAAACAAGGAGGATGCAGTAAAGAAATATCACCTTTTAAATTAAAACTGCTTTATTATTTTATGCAACACCTTTAAGTTTAAAAGAGAAACATAAGGGCGATTGTAAGCAAAAAAATAAATAAAAAAATAGACTGTAAGGTGTTGTATGGAATTTCGTAAACTGACCAGTAGCTGTGTTTTTTTCTTTCCCCTATATTTATTTAATATAATGATGGAACTTGCGACCTTAGTTGGCTAACAAGGGTTTTCTGAAACAAACCTCTGGGTGGGCTGTTTAATTTAGGGGGCATTTGCTCAGACTTGCCCGACAATGGAAAAACGGTTGTTCCTTGCGCAACCTGGTGGATATTGCATGAAGCACAAAAACATTTTTGGTTTCTTTTAAATGAAAAGGTGGCCTTTGTTGCTGCAGCACAGCGTGCGACTGCAAACTCTGTACAATGTGACGGGAAAAAAACTGAAAAGAGAATAAAGGAGCAAAAATACAGTAGTTTATGAACTGTCAATATACAGCATACAATAACTGTTCTGCATAGTGTATGTAATGCGTCTGGTAAAGCATTTGCCAATTGAGTGCATAGACATTGGATCAGCTAGGGCCAGGGCTTTTAATTCCTAAATCAGCTGATAGCATAAATTGATTAGGAGGCCTGCTTGAACTAACCAATACCTGCAATGGGGAAATTCATTCACTTGTTACGAAATCAGCTGTTCGCAAATTCCATTGTGTGTTAAATTGGAGACACACAACATGTGGGTCCCCATGATTGGAGTTGGAAACCACTGCCCAAGGATCATTTTCTAGGTATATTTGCTTCACCAGGAGGAACTGATGTTTGCAGGTCAATAGTGACGTCAAGCCCAGCCTTAAAACTGATGGGTCGAGGTCAAAGCTGTGCCTTTCTTGCATGCAGTAGTATCTTGACAACAGTATGAAATACAGACATAAAAGTTACTGTATGTGACTGAGCAGAAAAATGTGGGCAAAAGGCATTTCTATAACTATCTTAACTACAAAAGATATAAGTTAAAGCAAACACGCAAAGCAGTAGTTAGTGGTTGTTACAGGAATTACTGTATGAAAAGGTTTGATGATTTGTATTCTCGAGTAGCTTTCAGTATTTCTCACTCAGACCTTCATCATAATTCAGCACTGCCTATCAGTTCATTCATCTCAAATTCTCACTGCACTGTGACTCCCACATAAAGATGCAACAATAAAGCATCCATTGTTGTCTCAGCTTTGAAATGTCAACAATGAAATCAGCCTGATGATGCATATCATAAACAATATTTTGTGTTGGGTCACACCCATAGGTGGCATTATACTATTTGCTTTTAATAAAACCTTTTATTTTATTATTATGAACATAGAATAACTCTTCGTTATCTCAGTCAAAGGGACATTTGCTTTTGTTTTTGTTCTACTTTTTTGAGATCTGAACCTTTATTAGTTAATAGTTCCGATGCTCACAATACTGCAATGCTATTATATTTTATTTTGTGTTTTATTATACCATCTACCCCAACACCATCATATACGTCTTGCCTATTTCATATGTAAAACTAAGCAATACAGTGAAAAGGGGGAAGATTTCAGTGGCTGTTTCCAGCCCATCTGGTGACATGAGCAATTTCCTGACTAGGTCTGCCTGCATTAATAGCAGAAGGTTAAACAAACTGTCCGCAATGAGAGTGAAGCTTTCACAATGGGACTACAGTACGGAAAAGAGCCCTGGAGAGACATATTCTGGAGAGAATACAAAAAAGTGAAGGAAAGAAGAGCAACAGAAAAAGTCGTTGAGAAATGCCACCATAGGCTGCATTTACATATCAAAGTCTACATGTCTACCTTTGTTTACCTTGCTCTGTGCACATATTCTGTGTGTTTATCACACAGAAGACTATTTAACACAAAAAGAGCACCAGAAATTAATTATTAGATCCAATTCATATGGCCAAATGTTGGATATGTGCAGAGGTGTGGTGTGAGAAGATGCTGGTTAACTACATTTATATACTTACAACTCTTTACACATAGACACAAAATAAAAATATTTTTGCTGCTTGTTCAAACTAATTATTTATACAGATAACAAACATGTGCTTATTTATTTGAAACAAAAATATAGTAGCATTAGTAATAGTAATGAACCTGGTCTCTCGGCTTTCGCTTAATTTACTTTTGTCCAGTCAGGCGCCTCATACATGACATGTCTTCTTTACAGTGATTGGTTATAACTAACGTAATGCACAAATGCAAGTAACGCACAAGCGCATCATATTGGAACAATAACGGGATCACTATATTTAAAAATTAATGCATCACAGTATTTGTTACTGTCAAAAGTAATGTCTCTACAGTAACGCATTATTGCCCAATACTGGTTGGGACACCAAAAAGGAACTGTGTGCAACCCGATATTTTTTTGTGCAACTTTTCTGATTTTGACTGTTATTTAATGATGTGCATCTTCTGTGACACTGCTTTGGTACATCAATTATTGTAAAAAGCGCTACAAGTAAACTTAAATTGAATTGAACTCTTGTGCCGAAAACATCAAACAAAAATGGAATTAACTTTAGTTTGAATGAAATCATAAAAATAATTGTGTTGCAATGATGAGAAAGGAAGAAATAAAAAGAAGACAGGAGAAAGATCAGCACAGGGAGGAAAGCAGCAGTCTGTTAAAGTGAAGTCATTTATTCCAGACATGGATGACCCAGACATCCCACACAAACACAGAGCTCTATCAGTTCTTCCTGCTAGAACGAACTGGCCTGATGATGGATTTGCCAAGTTGTTTTAACATGACCCACACCACTGAAAATCTGTAAGGTCTCTCCATTTCCCCTTCCTCCCTTCTTCCTAGCATATCTTCACTTCACTGGACTTGATGGATTCATGTTCATCTCCACTTCACCACCTCATTTATATCTGCAAATGTTAGCAAGGACCTTTGTACAGAAAAGCAGATTGTCTTTCCACTGTACTTCCTCTTGAACAGATTTTGTTTAAGATCTTTTTCCATTTCTCCATGTCATCTAAACTTTAGTCTGTCAGACAGCTGTCTTTGTCAGAATCTCTTTTTTAAAAAGCCTCTAAACATATTTCTAAATATCAACATTGTACAACGTGACAGGAATTCAGAGGTCACAATTCTACTCGATGAAATGATCGTTCTAATGGGAAACAAATTTTTTTAATGATGCACCTTTGAACCTGCTTTTGGCTGTTCTTGTGCTTATTTTTCTGTTCTACAAATAGTTGTTTTGGCACTCATTTTGCATCAAGTGGCAAGTTTCCTTAACATTTAATGTTCTACAACCAATTAAACAGAAGGGGGTTAGAAAGAAACATTTCAGATTTGCTGACAAGCAGACTTCTCTGAGGGAGAGCAAGATATCAGTGGCTCCAACATAATGAGAGGAAAAAATAAATAAAAAGAAAGGTTTTCATTAAGGTTCATGAACAGAAACATCATGTGCTCAAATTTAGGCCAAAAGTGTCCAATTAAAACTTTAAACTTTATTTACATTCATTTGATTTTGAGAGTATACTGATACAAAAACCCGATCCGAGACTTTCTTAATACATAAAAAAAAAAAAAAAAGAAGAGTGAAGAAACAGATTCAGGATCCAGATCACTGTATTTTTAACAAACAGAGCACTTCTGTGAAGTAGCTTGAACAATCAAGTAATAAATTGTTCCGATTCCGATTCCGATCGAGTCTGAAACTGCGTGATCAGGCCCAATTTCTGATCACGTGATAGGATCTAGACATCCCTAGAAATAAGTTAAAGTTTGAGGGAAAATCCACTGATTATGTTTTATATGTTTTTCATTAAATAAACAAGAATTGCATAGATCAAAGACAGGGGTCAATCATGATATGTTTTTACGAGTCAATGTTAATTTCCATATTTAATTTATTAAAGTTGACTTTACTATTTTAAATAAAATATACTAAGATTGGAATGTTTGTGAAAATAAAATGCCTACAAATATGAGCGAAGTAATGTTTCATTACCATGCAGAATTACAGCTAGGTTAATCTAAAAAAATAAATCAACATATTTAACCTAAAATGTACATAACAAAATAGATTAAAGAAATATGCGGTCAAATAATAAATATTTTAAATTATTATAAAATGTGTTTTCAAATAAGTTAATCTATTTGTTTAAATGACAATACAGTGCTTAAAAAATGTTTAACATGTCATCAGGTAAATAAATAAATAGATAAAAATAAATAAATAAATAAATAAATAAACTACTTTTAAACTAAATTACATTCCAACTGGTGTCTTTTGTAAATAATTGTGAAAATGATTGATAATTATTCATTTGTTTTATGTAATGTCCAAGTGTGAGATATAAAAATTATTTTATAAAATAATAGTAATAATAATAGTAATCATCATCATCATCATCATAAACAAAATAGAATAAAAATTTACTTAAATTAAATGTAAATCATGGTAAAAATGATTAATAATTATTTATTTGTCTTTATGTAATGTCCAAGATATATAATGTATTTTACGTAATAATAATAATAATAATAATAATATATTAGAATTAAAAAAAATGTAAATAAATAAAATGGAATAAAGTAAATGTAATAAAAAACATTGTAAAAAAATAAGTAAAAATATAAATAAATAATATTAAAAAATAAAATAAAATAAAATAAACAAAACAAAACATTCACCCAATAAAAAGCAAGTTTCTCCTCAGGAATGGGAAGCCTGGAACAGATTCAGTTTTAGTCACGGTAAGGGGCTAATGAGCCCTGTCTGCATTGTTATCTTAAATTTGTCAGGTAGTGCGATGGCTCTTACTCTGGAATGCTGTGAAAATCCGCCAGCCAGACAGAGAAACACAGACACCGTCCGGCTCAGTGGAGTGTGTGCAAAGGAGGCCATGTACCCAGCACATGAGCTCTTTTATTACAAACACAGACAGAAATATCTCAATCGCAAAACAAAGTATTAAAATCAATGCGACAAGCAAAACGGACTGCAGCAATATTTAAAGAAGCAACCACGGCATTTTTAAAACACCATTTGCAACAATAAAGAGGTTGGAGTGTCGACGAATGTCGAGCATGAGGTCTGCTTTTTATTAGCTACAAGTTGAGAGTAAACAGTAAAATGTTCCAGACTACTGTAAGTAAACCACAAGGCCTCAGCAGCGCTTTGGGACGGAGATGTAAGATACCTGAAAGGCTGTCTGCCAGATCTGACAGCATGGAGAGCTCAGTTAAGATACACAAACAATGACGGAACATGTGAGATCATCTGCGTTTAGAGCTCAACTTTGAAGGGATAGTTCACTCGAAATTGAACATATGTTGTTGATTTACCTACCCTTAGGCCATTTAGTATGTAGCTAGCATTTTTCCTTAATTTTTTTCTCATTAAATATGGTTTTTAGTAAAAATTGTGATCCTTGGTGATTCATAAAATTTAAGTCAACAGCTATCACTTGAGTAAAAAAAAAACATAACTAATACCTGTGTTTCCTGATAATATATTGATGTTTGATGAAGCTAAAAGATCAGTATATTTTGGATTAATATGAATGTTTTTCATACATTCATTCATTCATTCATTCATTTATTCATTCATTCATTTTCTTTTGGGTACAGTCCCTTTTTTAATCCAGGGTCGCCACAGCGTAATTAACCGCCAACTTATCCAGCACGTTTTTACCCACAACCCATCTCTGGGAAAATGAATGTTTTTATTATACTAAATATTGCTTTAATGATTTCTCTTTATTTTATACCCACAATGTACAAAGAAAAGTTTGTATAAACATTGTGTAGTTTATTGGAAACATTTATATCTATAAACATGACTCTTTATAAAATATTTTGACTCTTTAAAAAAAATTATTATTATTGTTTTTTTTAGACTGAGAAATTGAGTATGGTTTGTTACAATTGGACCAAATTTGTCCAACTTATCGCAAATTTGAAATCTGAAGGTTGAAACAAATATCTAAATATTGTAACTATTGAAAAATATTGTCCAATTTAAACAAGTAATGCATATTACCTATCAAAAAGTATGTTGTTATATATTTAAGGATAATAAATACATTAAAATGTTTTTGTAGATTTACAAAATGTCTTCATGGGCCATGATTGTCATAATATTTCAATTATTTTTGACATAAAAGCAATAATTTTGAAACATACAATGTATTAATGACTATATGACACAACCATTATTTTGTGGTCCAGGGTCACAAATATAACTACAATACTCAACCCCATTTTAGAATCTTCACACAAGAAGTGAAAATGTATTTCAATTTCAATGTCAAGTAACAAGAAAGCACTTAAAACATTAAGATTTATGTCCTTTTCATGTCTCCTTACGTTTCCTTTTTTTTCTTTGTCTTTCTATACTTTAGATTATTTTAAATTGAGTTCATAATTACCATAATATTGCTTGAGGTCAGGTATTAATCTTGTTTTGCCTGTATATGTTGACTTTCAAAGTAATATTTAGTTGCATTTTATGCTAAAATTATATAGAACTATAATATAATATAATTATATATAATTAAATTTTGTACTGAAAAATGTAACCTACATTTTGGATGACCTGAGTTTGAGCAAATCAAGTTTTGTTTTTTGAATGGGAATGTAATTACAGAAATAAAAATATTATTATAAATTATACTAAATTATAAAATTATAATTTAGTCCCCTTTAACTTGTTCAATGAACCTGTTCGAACTTATTTCTTCTGCTGTTTAAAAGAAGATATCTGGCATCTTTTCACCATTGAAACAAAGAGGACATCAATGTATTCTTCAAAATATCCTTTTTGCTGTCTCTCAGGCTGGCCAAGTTGCTTTAGTTAACAAAAACTCTTTAAACCTGCCCGGGTTGACCAGATTGGAAGATCAGTAAACTAGTTGAGTCTGGTTTAAGATGTTTCCTACCTTTTGTCTGATTTACTGAGAAAGCAGATCAGAGAAAAAAAATGTGTATTTGAAACTGGCAAATATTTTAAAGACAACTAATTTATAGATGGTCTTTTCATTGGAAAACGTTGGAAATTGTAGCCATTTTGACGTGTCCCTATAAAAACACTACTCCATGCTGAGGGAATTTTGGAAGTGCTCGCTAATCTACTTGCTACTGCATTATTTAGCAAATGGGCCTTTCTTGGCATCCTTGCCAGCGTTATGTTTGGCTGGAGGAGCAGAGGCAACTTCCCAGGCCAGAATGGCAGCCAAGGTCAATCCTCTTCTTATATTAAGAGCTTTTCCAGCTGTGCTATGGAAGAACAAGAGAGAGGGATGCAAGGGGATCCCTGAGATTGACTTCCTACCATTATAGAGTTCAGCTCTGCAGCAGAAGCAATTGAGTTTTCCTGTCTGTCACAGTGTCGTGTTGCCTGAGTGAGATTTGACAGCATTTTTTTTTTTTTTTTGGTCAAGGTCCCTGGAAGGATTGCCTGGAAGCTCTGGAGGATGGTCACACTAACAGTGGGATGCACCTGGTGAAGCCGGATAACACCAATAAGCTAATGCAGGTGTGGTGCGACCAGAGACAGGACCCTGGCGGCTGGACGGTCATCCAGAGGAGAATGGATGGCTCCGTCAACTTCTTTAGGAACTGGGAGACATATAAGGTGAGCCACAAGAAAAACCTCCGGCCAATGATTATAGGACCCTGGCTGATACATCTACTTTTAAAACATCTTTTGTGTTCTAGTTTCTCTGTATCATGTTTTTGTGTGTGTGTGTGTGTGTGTGTGTTTTCTTTCATTGTTTACTTATTTGCTTGTTTATCTGTTTATTTATTTGATTATTTATTTGATTATTTATTTGATTATTTATTTATCTGTTTTTTATTTATTTGCATGTTGATCTACTTTTTTATTTTTTAATTAATTGATTGTTTATGTTATTGTTTTTTTCTATTTGTTTGTTTATTTATTTGTTTGTTAGTTTGTTTTTCAAAAGGCTAACTTTAATGGTTAAAATAAATGTTAGCAATCAATTCATTTTCAATTAATTAAAATCATAAAATACAATCAAATTTAGAATTATTTAACAGTGTGACAGTTATTTTTTAGGAATTTTAGGAACTCTATGAAAACATTTAATGTTTTATTTTTTTCAAATTTAATTGTATACTAGTCCAAATTAAAACAATAAGCAATCATAAGTACTCTTAAAATAAAGTTTATTATTATTATTATTATTATTATTAATAAAAAATAATTCGCAGATCTTTAGCCCATAATTGAGTCTCTGTATTTATTTGCGTAAATGTGTGTAACTTTATATTCATTCAGTTTTTAATTATCATCCGATATGTTTTATTTACAATACAGTTAGTAAAGTAATATTTTCTGTCTTTTAAATATAAAATTATCAGTTACGATACTCCCAAAATAATTCTGCATAAATCTTCAGATTTTTTACAAAATTCTCTGCAGATAAAGCAAAAAATTGTTGCAGATTCTGTCTGGCCCTACCGATTACTAATAAAATATTATATTATTTTCTATATAAAGTAAACAGTAAATGGAACTAAAGTGGTAGAAATCACACTACAATCTGCAATTAATATTACACAAAGGTAATCTCAATTAGCAATACAATATACAGTATCTAGGTAATGAAAGTACAGTGTCTTTACTTCACTTATAGTGGCAAGCTCGACAAAGAAGTACATTTGTGTTCTTGTGGAAACAATTTGCTCACATTTTACCTTGGTCACTTAATGGCACATGGTCTATAACTCTTGGGCTGCTTCATATAAGCTGAACCGGATGGCAGTGAACATACAGACCCCTGAACGTAAAGCAGTTTAATGAGAAACACATGCCAACAGAAACTGCCACACTACACTCCAATGCCTCAATGCAAAGGCTAACTTAATTATTCTTCCAACATTAACATGATCTAAGTGTATATTTTGTGTATGCAATAAATGTAATAAACAATTAAATTAAATTGATTAGCATAATTAGTAAATCAGATTAAGACAAGGCACCTTTCTTCCCCAATTTGCAGACAGTGATTTAAATTTTAATGCTTTTTGTTCTCCAGCACTGAGCCTTTTTTCTGAATGTTTACAATTTATTCTCAATAATGAAGTGATAAAAAGAGACAAAAAGCACTCTTTAAAAACCTTGAGATTCTAATATGTAATAGTAGTAGTAATAATAATAATAATAATAATAATAATAATAATAAAATTATTATATGTACAATGTTAACAATTTTTGTAAATTACACAGTATTTAACTGTAATATGATCTGATCTGTAGGACAGTTATACAGTATGTTACTGTATTTTATTGTAAATTACTATATTTTACAGTAAATATATACAATACTGTAAACAAATACAGCAAGATAATTGGTTCTGTCAATGTAAATACAGCATTTTTTGCTTTAATTGATTTACAGTAAGTTACTGGCGAATTGCTGCTTTTTTTTTTTTTTACTATTTTTATCATCCTTTTAAACATTTTTTCGTATCCGCCCAATACAAACAAACATCTGTGAGCAATTACGTGGTGGAAATTTATCTCTCATTTACCCTTTTCATACTGCTCAATCTGTGTGTGCGATAACTGACAACACTGAAACAGGTAATGTCATGTGCTCTGCAGACCAATACAGATACGCACCTTTTGCATTTGGCTGCGGTTTCTAAATCTACTAAACTGTCCAGGATTTGGTTTTGCTTTCGTTTTCTAAGCTGTCATTAAATTTTTGTGCACAGCTGTGAGAGCAAGAGAGACATTAAATAATAATTTCTTTAATCTAAACGACTCAGAAAAAGAATAAATACTCTGAAAACTTGGCTGCAGAATATTTGTCAGAAGATTATAAACAAATTTGTCTTACTTAAATAATCTACAGTTTATGTTGTATTCTTGTAATTATTATTTTTTTATTATTATTTCTTCCTCTGTCATTTATTTCTCATTTGCTGTATATTTAATTAATTTGATGATGTCAATATATTACATATGTTTTACATCTAAAATGGTTTGGCAAAACTGTACAAAATGTCATGCCAATACAACCTGAACTTCAATGAGAGATAGAGAGAAGCAGATTTGACCTGAGAGTGGGTGCACATGGCTCCTGAATAGCATACAAGAGAAATAGTGTCTTTTTTTCAACAGTCTTTTTAATAACTTTAACCCATTGAAAAGAAAAAGTTTAAAACAGATAATAGTAAAAAAAAAAGCGTTAAAAATCTAATTATGTTTCGCTTGTCACATATAGTTAACTATTTATGTACTGTGGGTAAAAGGTGTTTTGATCCGGCGACCACCACAAGTATATTTCAATCCTGTAGGAGAAACTGAATATACATGTACTGTGGGGGAAACCGGAGCTCCTGGACGAAACCAACGCGAACACGGGAAGAACATGCAAAGTCCAGACAGAGATGCCGACTGACCCAAACTCAAACCAGACTCAAACCAAACTCGGACTCGGACTCAAACCAGTGACCTTCTTGCTGTGAAGCGGCAGTGCTAAAAATTGAGCCACCGTGCAGCCCGAATTAAATAAAATTAAATGGTTAATAGTTACCACCATACTTCCTCCATTTATTTTATATATTTTATTATCTCATTCTCAACGTGTTCGCGCGGGTTTCCTCTGGGTTTTCCTCACAATCCAAAGACGTGCACTATAGGTGAACTGGATAAACTAAATTGGCTGTAGTGTATGTGTGTTAATATGAGAGTGTATGAGAGTTTCCCAGTATTGGGTTGCAGCTGGAATGGCATCCGCTATGTAAAACATATGTTCGATAAGGTGGCGGTTTATTCTGCTTTGGCGACCCCTGATGACTAAAAGGACTAAGCCAAAGGAAAATGAATGAATGAATGAATGAATGAATGAATGAATGAATGAATGAATGAATGAATGAGTTTTATCCAAATGACCAGCATTGTGCTGCCTTAAAGATTCAATTCAAATGTTAATAGAAACAAATTCCATTTGAATTATGAAAATCACAGAGTGCAGAGAATGTGACAAAGCATCATCAGAATCTTTGTCCACTGCAAAACAAAACAAAGTATTTATCACAAGAAAAGCTGGAACTACCAGTTCTTCATGAGCTCAGACAGAGATGTCTATCTGACTGACAAAGATCATGCTGGTTATTAACAAACAAAACAGAATAAAGAAAGTCATGATGCGGAACAAGTGAAGACTGAGTAAATGATGACAGAAGCCAGTCATTTATGGGTGAACTATCCCTTTAAGGACATGAAAAAATAAATATAGAGTAAAAGAAACATCTTGCTTAACCATAACTCAGTGGCAGGTGCTCTTCTGTTTTATTACAGCAAGGTTTTGGAAACATTGATGGAGAGTATTGGCTGGGTCTGGAGAACATATACTGGATAACCAACCAGGGGAACTATAAACTGCTGGTGACGCTGGAGGACTGGTCTGGGCGCAAGACGTTTGCAGAGTACGCAAGTTTCCGTCTGGAGCCCGAAGCAGACTTCTACAGGCTCAGAGTGGGCCGTTATCATGGAAATGCTGGTGACTCTCTAACCTGGCACAATGGAAAACAGTTCACCACTCTGGACCGCGATCATGATGTATATACAGGTATCAGTCTGTCAATAATACCTAAATTAACCTTTTTTTGCAAATATGCAATACAGTGTCAATTATATAATAATAATAATAATAATAATAATAACAATAACAATAATAATAATAAAACATTACATATATTATCATTTATGTATACACACCCACACACATTTTAATATATATGTAATGTAAAAAGCAATTCTATATTTTTATAAGTAAATGATAATATAATAAGTTTTATGTTGCTATTATTATATTATGTTTTGTATTTTTAGTATATCTAATTATACTAAAATATAATTAATTATTATTAAGTAATAATACTTTTACTATATCTAATTAATAATAAATGGTAATAAAAAATACATTCAATAATAAATATAACACAACATCAATAACATTATTGATATATAAGTATGTATTTACAGAACTACAAATTACTATTTTTTTCATATATATCGACATATACTTTTATTATTTATTGTTATTATACATGTTATTTATTTTTAGGATTTCATTTTTTGATATAAGATGATTTATTTAATATGATTTTATTTTTACTGATCTAGTAGTAATCATTTGACCTGCACACATTTAACCTGAAATAAATATTTTTTCAGGGAACTGTGCCCACTATCAAAAGGGAGGCTGGTGGTATAACGCCTGTGCTCACTCTAATCTGAACGGCGTGTGGTACAGAGGAGGGCATTACCGCAGTCGTTATCAGGACGGTGTTTACTGGGCTGAATTCAGAGGAGGTGCCTACTCTCTCAAGAAGGTTGTGATGATGATTCGACCAAACCCCAACACCTTCCACTGAGCAGGACACACAAATGAACTAAAAACTGGCTTAAAAAGTGCAATTTGATTAAACTGTGGTTTGATTCACACATACATACTAGGATGTGATATGTGGGGGAAAAAATAAATAAATAAATAAATAAATAAATAAAAAATAGTCTCTTGATTATTGTAAAGAACACCAAATGATCAGAGACTACAAAAGGAAGCTCTATATTTAAAGAATTAGTTCATTCAAAAATGAAAAGAATGTTATTAATAACTCCCCCTCGTGTCATTTCAAAACCCTTGAGACATTTGTTAATCTTCAGAACATAAGTTTGGATATTTTAGATAAGAGTCAGGAACCTTTTTTGAGCAAAGAGCCATTTCCAATTTTTTGGCAAATGCATTTTTTAAAGAGCAATTGGGGATATATATGACGCACCATATGTTAAGCAAGTCCATTAATTAAAAAAGGAAAATTTATAGAATTTCTTTCTTTTCATTACTCATGAACATTGTTTGAATCTTATGGCAAAAGGTTACCATAGAAATGTAAGTGGCATTCCCTTCATTGGTAGCGTGATTCAGGTAAATCCACAGTGCCGCATTGGATAAAACGTCCTTTTATTCTTATTCATATTTATTTCTGCTGTAAAAATATACAATAAAAAGGTCATTTTTAGTTTAAGGAAACTGATTTTTAGTGACAGTTTTAATTTTTTATTGAAGGGAGACAGCTGGAGAACCACATTATATTGGTCAAAGAGCCACATGTGGCTCCCGAGTCATAGGTCCACTACCCCTGTTTTAGATGAAATTATTTTCTGGATTTTGAAAGTCTTGTTATTGCCTATGAAGAGTCAAAGAGCTTGCATATTTCATCTAACATATCTCAATTTGTTTTCTGAATATGAATGAAGGTCTCTGGGTATTATAAAGACATGAAGGCGAGTAATTAAAAACAGAAAGTTCATTCTTGAGTAACTACTCATTTAAGTGCTAATTGCTTCAACAGAAAAGAAAGGTCTGTTATGTTTTTTGTTTTGTTTTGTTTTTACAATTGACCAAATGCATGGAACACTCATATGCAAGCTGGAAAAAACCTTTGGTGAAAGGTTGATGTGACCCTATATTCAATGGCATAATGTTCCTTAATAACCCTTAGCTTACAGTCAGTTAATTAGACCTAAGCATTCATTTAGTTGTTCAAGCATTAAAAAGATGAAAAGACATTTAAATTTAAGCAGCATAAGGGCTAATTAATCGAAATCCACAGTAACCATGCATCTGGTCAATTGCTCTAGGAAGCAGTTCAAAAAGAAAAAATATATAAATGGACATGATGTGTTTTTTTCTCTCTAGCACAGTAATGTCAAATGATTTTGTTCATCTTTAATATTCAGTGCAATTGTGGATCTGTTGCCTGTTGTTTTTGAGATTTATTTCATCAAATAGACCTGAAAATAACTCTGATTAGTATGTAAAATAAGACACAGGACATGCAATCCAGTGATAAGTAGCTTATGCTTTCCTAGTTTACTCATACTGTAGCTAAGAGAAGATGTACTTCCTGATGAAATGAATGACTCCTAATTTATTTCAGGGATATCATTTTTAAAATTGGTATAAATCTTGTAGTTTTAAAGTAAACATAATTAAACTTGAAAACACTTCTTAAAACAGTCACTGATTGCTCCATCTAAACTGTATTTACTGTGTAAATTAGCTGTTGGTGTCAAATGAGGAACCAACACACGTTTATGTACATATAAATGCAATATTGTTGAAAATAATGTGTCATTTGTAATATACTGTAAGTGTAACAGATTTCCCCAAGTACTGTCTAACTGTTGCAATAAAAGATGTACAGCTACAGGCTTTGTGTAGTGGTCCTGCTGTAAACTGACCTGAGATCAGGTGCTAAAGTACAAAAAACAGTTTTTAGATCTTCCATGGTTTTATACAATTTTAAATCAACCAACCCTCTTGATTTTACTAATGTAAAAAAATATAAATCAACACCACTTTGGTATGTGTACATCTATACTTGGGAAATAACAGAGATAAAATATTATTGTTTGTTCTGTAAGGAGAGAAGGGAAGAGAGAGAAAAAAAAAGGAAAAGCAATGTTTTAGTCTGTCCATGTCCATTTCATGTGATTGCTTTAGAATTTCATAATTGTGTCGTATTTAACTGCAAACAATTTACACATAAACTCACTTGTGACGTGTGCACAGACATGATCTTCCGACCATCGGAATTTGCACCATGTATGGACACCTTAAGCCAATGGTCATCAACATTTTTATCACTGTTGACCGGTCAATTTTACTGCGAACTGGGGGTGGGGGGGTTAGGCTGCTAGGCGACCATAAACCATTATCTCAGAGGATGACAAGCTGACAAAACATTGTTGTAATTCCGATACAACTTTTATTTATGTAGAAAATTTTAAAAGACTGCAGTGTTTGGGTGTTCTTTGTTTGTCTGAGATAATTAGTCTAATGAAATGTGTGTATTCTATGCAAAGTATGAAGCTGATTGGTCAGTTTTTGTCACTTGACTTGCTGAAAAGGCACGAGCGCGTCATGCCACGCACCTCCATTGGAAATAACAAACTTGTGCAAACTCTAAAAAAGACACAATATGCAAAGACCCCTAAAAGGCTACCATCATTTGCGATCTCCAGCAGTTGATCTTCTTGTATAGACATAGTGGATTCACCTGATTTGTTGACAAATGGGTTGCGGATCTATTCCTTGGCAGCTTGTGGGTCCTTTACTGAGCCTTTTCCACTTTGCAAAGAAACTTTCCAAAGACGTCTGTTTCTTACTCATTTTGCTGCTTGTGGGTTAAATTTGGGTGCTCAAGTGACCAAGATGCAAGTAAGAGAATACTGTCATTTTTTCAAAATAAAAGATTCTACAAAATAAAATATTGTTCAGACTAAGATAATAAATAAAAAGAAACAATAATTTCTTCTGCTGTCCGATACCAGTTGGTACTAATTTCTTCTGCTGCCCGGTACCAGTCAGCGGCCTGGTGGTTGAGCACCACTGCCATAAGCTATCTAACAACTTTCAGTGCTGTAAATCCATGCAAATCTTTTGAAGATGGAATTGCATTTCATATATGGATCTGTCATTTTTTCTGTCAATTTAAACTCCTAATATATGGTTTTTGGAACACAGAGAAAGCTGCACTCAAGCCGTTCTAATTGAGTTCACCTTTGAGCATGACCTCAGTGTCAAAAAATGATGTGCAAAGCTTAAGTATGCACTATTTTAGGTTTGTGACAGTGCATGCGTTATTATGCAATAAGAAGCTAATGTTCCAATGGTAATTGTGTTGTATTGTTTCTTGCAAAGACAGATAGTTTCATTGAACTGTCCATTTAAACTATTTCTGTGCCTGTTTTGTTCAAAGATTAAACACACCTGATTAGAGCATGCTGAAAACGTATTTGAGATCAATTGTGCAATTTTAAAACTGCATCGATATTCTCTCCTAAATCGATTCTGAACTAACAGCAGAATGTGCTCTAGACTAGTTTTAGTTTTTAACCACACACTCAAATTCTCACCAGTAAGACCACTTGTGTGTTTCGCTGAGTCATGCAAGTTGTCTTTTATATCAGGACATTAATGTAAATATAGCTCACTGCTGTATATAAACACTTCTGCAATTTACTTAAACCTTCTCTAACTTTATCAATTAATAATTTAGATTCAAGCGGTACTTGTAAAGAATTGAATGCAAACAGTATGGCTTGAGATGAAGATTTATTTTTTATGTTTTGGACTATCGGAATTCCATTGCATTGACATAGACATGAATAAGTGAATCACGATAATTGACATATATTCCTGTAATATAATGTTTTTAATGGTGAAGGTAAATATATCTTGTGTGTTTAATTACAGTATATTGAAATGAAAATGATATTGTTTTTACATATAAAGTAGCAGTCTAACTAATGATGTAATGTGATTGATTGTGGAATAAAAGGGTGGAGTGAAAGGATTGTGTCACACACTGAGGAAGGAATTGTGCTTAAACGTCTGTGTTTCGTTTCACAGAAGAATGTAAAATAAAGGCTAAACATAGTAATTATTTAATGAGTGTGAATCATGACCTTCTGAGGAAATTAACGTTATTAATGAATAATTTAGATTTAAGCGGAACTTGTAAGGAATTGAATGCAAACAGAGTATGGCTATTTGCAAAGCATAGAGCGATGTCTTCGGTTAAAAAACAAACTCAGAATCGATTCAAGAGAGAATAGCGATGCATTTTGAAAATGCCATAACAGACGCAGAATCGATTTCTTGCCCTACACATAATTACCATGGCTCTGCTTGCTTTCCACCTTGCACTGCTTTGTGTGCCGTGTGGGGCATTATGGGGACAAGCTGCTGCATCTGTCATCTTTCATTTGTGCATTACCAGTGAACACTTGGAAAACATTCCACTGGAACTCTCACACTAATTTGCCCTATTTAGTAAATCTGGCCCCTAGCGTTTTAAACTGTGGTTAGATTTTAAGTCGTGCGCTGTGTTCCAGCATTTTTTGATGCAAACCGAACTTGTTTATTTATATAACAAAACCAATAATACAAGATCTATGATATAAATAAAAAAAAAGAATAAAAATGTAAAGTGCTTGACAAAATCTCAAACCCTTTCATTTCCTCTTTCCTCTGTCCCATTGGGAAATGGAACAGACCGCTGGAGAAGCCCAGTGGAAACTGATAGATAAGAAGTGACAGCCCGCACAACAGTCTCTCCGTCCCTGCGGTTTCAACTGCCTGCTGCTCAGAAATGGGAATATATTCCTGGAGTTCCCTGCAACTTAACTACAAGGTACCGGTACCAGGTACAATGGTTCCTTCCATGTGTCTTCTGAAAAGTCCTCTGTTGAGTGTGAAGCAGTTTACTGACACAACGCCAATAAGTAGCAGTGTGGATTATGTAAAGGAAATTTAGTTAATGAGAAGGATGTGTGCGGCTGGGAAAAAGAAGATGTTATGCGTCAGCTTGATCCACATGTTTACTTTTCTTAAAAATTACAGCAACGGTCTGCATGAGCAGTGTTTTAGTCTTCTAGAAATGAACTCAGACAAAGTGAACGTTTGAGTTACAGCCGTCTGAAGTTATTCCTGACTGGCCTTTAAGTTATTCACATACCGCAATGACACAGGAGCACCTGGAAAACTGTGACCGTGAACCTCAAACATATGGCAATGACATAGCGTACAGTCTGTTGTGCAGCTTAAAAATCAACGTCTTAAAAAGCGCATCTCGTAAAACAAGACAAAGTCAAAGACACCTCCCTAACATTAAGCCTCCCGATGAGCTGGTGCTCACGGTTAACAGCTGGATTTATCATACGGACCTCACTTCTGATGATTAAGATAAAGGAGTGTAATTGAGTGAGGGATATACATCCTGATCCCCATCAGAGTGACAATCCTGAGGGAGGAATCCATTTCAAGTGCTGTCAGTACCTTTAGAGGAGACTGACAGCGCTTCCTTTCTTTTCTTTTTTTTAACAAGTATTGTTATTATTAGTAAACAGTGGTTTACTGGAGAAACTGTGGGCCTGTCGTGACTGGAGTTTCTTAAGGATTAAAAACATCTCAGTTAAAGATAAACTATATAGGGAGTAGGGTTGTGTCGATAGACTATGCCATCGATGCTATGCTGTGCCTATTCATGCCCCACTGAAAAAAAGTGATTGACAGGTGGTCATTTATTTGTAACTTTATTTATTTATGGTTTGGTTATGGGTAAAGCAAAGATCATGTAGGACAGGTAGTGAAAACGGTAGGCTACAATTAATTAATTCATTATGAATTAATTGATATTTAACAACCACTTCCACTCCCCGCCTACGACGGCGATGGCATGGTCCATGGCGATGTTTCACATTAAACATCGTACGATGCCAAATTGGTCAATACCGACCAACCCTAATAGGGAGTCAACACGATAGAAAATCAACAAATTGAAAAAGTAAAAAAGATACGCATGCATTATCATTCACATTACACAAAAGCATTTCTGTAGTCAACTAACAAGCTGTGTCTATTATTATTATTATTATTATTATCATTAACAATAATAATAATAATAATAATAATAATAATAATAATAATAATAATAATTACATAGTGGATTAACTATGGCTGGGCGATAAAATCGATAAGTATCAATATTATATATTTACCGAACACCATTGTTAAAATCAATTAAAAAAAAGATTTGGCATGTAGTTTCGATATAAAGGCGATAGTTTTATTCAAATGTGGCTGCTGAGCTAGAGCCTTGGAAGCAGTGCCAATAAGCTTAGGGTGTACGTTTGTTAGAGGTCACCAGAGTGGCTTTTTGGTTTCTTTTCTTGTGTATCCTAGCCACCAGTACTTCATCTGAAAGATTTTTTTTAGCATAGGGGTAATGTAGTCATTCAACTTTACAGTTTGTATTGTTGCAATATGTATTTAAACAATGATGTTCCTTTACTTGAAAGCTCAGATTTGATTATCATAATTTGTGTTTTCGACAGAGTTTGAGGTTTACTCACACCATTATTCACACCTTAAAGTTTGGTTTAATTGTTTAGTATTTACGCGTTACCATTGCACACACATTGTAACATTTTATTTATCAAGTTTACTAGTGTCTTTAATACTTATCTTTATTTTATTATAAAGAGATCAGATATTTTGTTTAAATATTTTTGTTTTTGACAACTAAAACTATTTGCCTTAGTAACGTTGGTAAATTAAAATAAATATACATATACACACCACTTATGTATATACCTTTCTATATATTCTATACCTCTATAACTATAGCTGTCAATCATTGAAAAAAAATAATTAATAAATAAATGAATAAATATGCAAGTAGGTAGGCAGGCAGGCAGATAGGCAGATAGGTAGATAGATAGATAGATAGATAGATAGATAGATAGATAGATAGATAGATAGATAGATAGATAGATAGATAGATAGATAGATAGATAGATAGATAGATAGATAGATAGATAGACGGACGGACGGACGGACGGACGGACGGACGGACGGACGGACGGACGGACGGATAGTGAGAGAATACAAAATGTCTGAGATGGTTTGACAAATGCAGTTTTCTTAACTAACTATTAACTAAAGCAGTGCATTGAACTGCCCTCTGCTGGACACCACAGAAATAGCAGATGACACATGGCCAAAACCTGGTGTTCAGCCAACCTAAAACAACTATAGCCCCAACAAGCAAGAAGCCATTAGGCTAAATTAAAAAGGGTTCACCAGCACTGAATGAGGCAATTTCACAAGGCCCCCAATGGGAGTATGACCCATTGCTAATAAGAAACTTCATTAAAACCCACTCACACTGCCTCAAGACATGTCTGACTGAATGTGGTCAGTCATTATAGTATGTGAAGGGAAGAAGGTGACAAAAGTCCATTAACGCAGCTGTGATCTTTTGTGACACTCACCAAGGTAGGGGATGCAGGGGGCCATTTTGAGCGAGCGGGTGTACTCTCTCATGCGGTTGTAATTCTCTTCCTTTGACGTCAGGAAGTCAAGCTTCTCAAAGGTGGCCTTGTCCTTCCGACTGATCAACTGTTCAGAACAGAAAATGACAAAAAAGAAAGAGGGAACAAATTAGGAAAACCTCAAGACTAAGAGAAAAGCATGAAATAATTTAATCAGAGGAATTCAAAATCTGAGAACATATCAGAATAGGGAGGAAAATAATAAATAAATAATAATAATAACATAAAAAATATATTTTAATGCATTCAAAGGGAACTAAAAGATATTAGGAGTAGTTTTATATTAATACTGCAATAATAAAAATCAAAATGATAACCCAAAGATATTTAATCCATATAATATGGAGTTACATATTTGTATACAATTTTAATTGCATATTTCATTTATTTAATTATTTGTTGCCGTTGATGCTTTCATTTATTTATTTATTTATTTATTTATTTATTTATTTATTTATTTATTTATTTATTTATTTATTTATTTATTTGGATTGGTTGGTTGGTTGGTTTTATTTAACTTTTGAATGCATCGTAGATGACAAACATTTTCCAAAACATAACACCTATTGCATACTGTACATTTATTGCCAATAATTACCATCATAAATATATTTAGCAAATTTTTTTTTCACTGTTACTTTGAATAATTAATTCAAATGTAAAACTATGTGTTTGCTATACTTACAAACATACATGCATACATACATATTTACATAGATACATACATTTATTGAATGTTAAATTATTATGAACATTATAAACTATGTGAGGGAGTATTGTAATAGTGTTAAGAGTGAGGTTCCCAAAACTCCTAGTCTAAACTACAGACACTCAAACACAGCACCGGGTGTGCACCGGGTGTGCTTCTTATTTATAGAAAGCACTAGATCACATGAAACAGGCCCAGTGTCTACAAAGTATTTAATGAGTGGCAAAAATTCTGCCAATGCTTCCTTACAGCACACGTGTGATTAAATAACATCAGTGGAGATGACCATGTGCCAAAGCCTTGTTAGGATTAACAAAGAGCTTGTTAACTGAGGAATTCCATCACCCATGGTTTATCACATCGAATGCTGCAGTGTGTTTCCACAAAGTAGTTCAACATGCTCTCCTGGTGCCAGACTAATACATATACTGCTATCCAGTCAATTCACTCTTGTAGGTTTGATCAGAGAGAATGTTGCATTCAAACAACACAAGCAGAAGTTGTTGAAACCACACTGCTCGCAAAAAAAAAAAAAAAAAAAAAAAAAAAAAAAAACTTCTAAAACAAATAAATAAATAAATAAATAAATAACACTGTTTCCTTGAACATTGTATGTGACTCCAAAACCAATGAAAACCAATCTTATGTTGGCAGTGCATGGCAGTAAACAAAAATATATTATATGGATGAAAATTATAAATATTATCACTCTACTGCACGCATTAAAAAAGGCCAATTTTTTGAAGGTACTTTATGATATGTTGTCATATAGCAAAAATAATCAATAGTGGAACTAAATTCTAATTTAGAACTTTTCTTATATTTAATCATTTTTTTTTTTGAAATGCTGTTTGCTTTGATTTAATTGGTGTTGCAGCATTTTAAGTTAGAACACAGAACTTATAAATGACACCTTAAATACTTTCCAACGACTGATATCACAACAGTTTTCATTTATTCCATTATTTTTACTGATATTATTGAAAACAATCACAATATTGAATTATCATGTATTCAACATACAGTAGAATTACATATTTTCTCTAGTAAATATTATAACAAATACATAACAAGTCTAGTATATCCAGATGCATCAGAATAATGTAGCTACTAGCTAACAATGTTTATATATTATACTATATACTATACTCTGCCTGTCTTATCTGCCTCAGAGCTAACTTACTTGAGCTGTCTCCATTACTGCTCTTATCAAATGTCCAATCTGCATCATTCTCATGGTCACTAAATCCCTTCTCATTAACACTTTCATCTGCAGGAAGAGCCAGTTTTGTCCTTTTCTTCTTTTACTATAGAACATTGTGGTCCTCAGTAATACACTGTTCCCTGTATTTATAACTATTCAATAGTATTGTCAATAAAATTTAATTTTATCCATAATGCAAATGCAATTAACATACAACTAATCAACATTATATTACTAGCATTCATGTTGTTATTGTTACAACTTCAAGATCACAGCTAAGCTAGCTAACCCATTGCAATATTCCACATTCCATTATTGCAGTGTTGCCATTTGGCAACACATACAACTGTAAGGTCCACCCAGTTGGCCCAATGCCGGTGTCCACTGGTGGATGAAGGTTCACTGCATGTTCGGTCTTTCCAGTGCACAATGTTGATTTATATTAAACTTAACTCATATCTGACTCCAATTTTAGTATGAGATGGTTTAGAATATTAATATATTTATCCTCGTTTTATCTGACTCCAATTATAAAACATTAAGAAGATTATATCAATATGTAATTTAGATAAATGTTTGAACCGTTTGTCTTCACTCGTAACTATTACATCCGTTCATTCGGGTGCTCATGTCGCTCAGAGAAATCGCCTCGGCCGAAGGCGTCCCTCACGGTCACACTCCGGTCAGTCTTGAATATTAAACAGAGGTAAATTGACTAATACTTTAGATGGCCGCTACCAGCGCGCTTGTTCTAAAATATTTTAGTTAGTCCCGCTTAGATGTACACCTTTGAGTTAAGACAATCATCATTTCTAATTAGAGGTTAGGGCATTAATATAAATGTACCCGACTACTGGACTCTATAGTAACTTTGGTTTTCACCAAGCCCATGGTTTCCCATATGAACTTAATTTAGAATAATATTACCTTCAAACAAAGGTCGGGTACCCAATCTAGGTTAGTCGTGCAACACCTTGTTGACCTAGACGGAAGTTATCGCCCTTTCCACCTAAGTACACATGAATCAATATCAAGAGTCAGCCGGATCCCTAAAACACAATTAGTGTGCCAATGCTCCATCTCAATTGGATTTTAGTCCGTCTACTGACCTGACGCAAGACGTGCGGAAACAAGGATACAGCGTAATCTACTTGAATTAATAATTACAGAGTGAGCAAAATATGGTCAAACATTACAATTTATTAGTCAGGTAAATGTATTATGCCAATTCAATCAGTCAATTCATAAATGATCAATACAAAACATCAAATTATCAAAGATAAATCCAAGATGAAAAAGATGCATTCCTGACTTTGAAATATACATAACATGGGGCAGACCCCATGTTATGGGCTGATCTGGTTAGGCAGAATCGCCCTGAGTTTTTCTTAGACCTTACCTTAAATAATCCAAGAATTCCCTCAAGGAAGGGGGTGTGAACAAACGGCATTCACACTTAGTGGCACACCCCTCTCAGTGGTTCAAAAGATGCCTGAAGTTATATATTTATTGTTCTGATTATGTCTATTTCTGAGAGAATGAGACCATTGTACCAATCGCACTGAGACATTTCAAATAATATCAAACATGATAGTTAAAGTCAGTTTGGTTAGTCTAAAACATTGAAACATTGAAATGACCATATGTGTGACTTGGGGGGATGAAGCTGAGTCTCAGCATAGTCAGATGCAAATGCAGCAGGAACTGGTTTTTCACGCATTCCCCCCTGGTGGGTTGTGGAGTCCATTGGCCCTGTCTTCAGCTCATGTTTTGAATTGTCAAAGATATCAGAATATTTGCAATATTTCAATTCTTACACAACATTTAGATGATTTACAAAAAAACGAATATGGTTAAACTTTTTTTGAGTTGTGAATATGTCATCGTAACTTACTAGAGGGGATGTCTCCGAATTTTTTTAACCTGACATGAGTTGATCCTTTGTTTTTATTGACATCTTTATTTGCATAATAACAGCTATTTGAGGAAAAAAAAATCTGATTTGAGCATTAAGCCTCGCAGTGTGAACATAGCCTATGAGCCATACTTGTCCTATCCCAGCAAACCATAAATCAATAAAAAGCTTATTAATTCAGCTTTAAAATAATGTATAAATGTCTTTTTTTTTTTAATCGACATAAATGACTGGGGGCTATTTCATAAACCAAGCTTACAGAAAAAGCCAGGCTTATTTTGGTAAGTCAGGTTTATTAATGGCGGATTCGGTTTCATAAATCAAATTTACGATAGTTCAAACTTAGTTACCCTAACCTATATATATATAAACTAAACTAAACTAAACTTTTTCTGGGGAGTGAACAATACCTTTATACAGTATATCAAAAAATAAACAATAAATTAATTAATTAATTAATATTTATACAAACACTGGATAAACTTCTGTTACAACAGCTTCATACCCAGATGCACAATACAGTTAGAGAGTGGAAAGCTGACTTGACAATAAGCTTTGCTCTCTGCAAAATACATATTCATTCATCATTTAGAAGTTGGCCTGAAATATACCTGAATAATTTAATGAACCACAACTTGGACTCTCTCCTTTGGACTTGCAACAGAGAATCAGTAAAGCAATTTTGTTCCCTTTTATTTGCAAAGGGAAGCGGTAAGGATTTTATTTGATTTTAAACGGCGTCAAGATAATCCGCGGCAGGAATGTTAAATCACGACACCATCAATCAGCAAGCCTGGTGTGGAAATGATAATATTATGACAAAGACTTGAAGAAGTACTGTGAGCTAAGGGAGACTGCATACGATATTTTAAGAGGAAGCTAATTACAAAACCATTACAAATGATGAACAGGGTCAATTATAACTGTGCCAGCTTGTTTTAGCAAATGCGATTTCCACATGCGAGTGTGTCTAGCATCTAGCCTGCAAGACTAGCAATTTTCTGCTTTAGTTAGGGCAATCAAACGCCAAAACAAAACATTTTCTCATCTCCTTTATCAAGCTATCATTCAACCACAGCAGAAGTCGGTCTCCCTCCTCTTGAACGAACGCCACAATAGCATTACTCATTCCAATAGACACATACACAGTACTAAACAAACCCACCGAGGGCAATAAAAGTGAGGGGATTCCTTCAAGCACTAACATCTTTATTTTATTTTTCAGTAACACATGACTGA